TAGTAGTAGTAGTAGTAGAGAGAGAGAGAGAGAGAGAGAGAGAGAGAGGGGTGGTGCTAACCTTGTCAACTAGGGTTTTAGATTGGTTGTGGTGGTGGGCAGTTGAATCAGAAGGGGCAGGTGCCATATCTGATCTCTCCTGCTTTTGGTGAAGGGAGGGATCAGAAGAGCGCCTGTTTGGCTGCGACTTTTGACTACTACTGACTGGTGACTCTGGTTCCAACTGTGAACCTGTATTCTGAGCTGATCCTGAATCAGTAGTACTTTCACCTGACTGATGAGAATGGGCCTGTTGTTTGTTCCCAATCACAAGAACAGTAACCATTTGAAAAGTACTAAACACTAAACCATATTAAGTAAAAAAAAAAAAAGGTCAACTGATGAAAAGAAAAAGAGAGAGCGAGAGAGAGCCCCAAAATTTATTTTTTCATTTTTGGGTTTTGAAGTGGAAGATGGATATAATACCCTTGGGGTTGGTTGATATCTCACTGGCCAGGAAGGGAAGATCTCCAATGTTGGAGGGGGATGAATGCCTAATAAAGCTGTGGAAGAAAGTACAAGAGCACAGTTATCAGAATTGTACAGTAAGGATTTGAAAGAAAACTACAATGAGGTGAAAAGACCATGGTTTGAGGATATTTTTAAAAAACTTCCAACAAGAAAGGAGAGAGGAGAGAGACCCATTGAAAATTGTAAACTTGAAACAAGTGAGGAGAGGCGAGAGACTCTTTGAGTGTTGAAAGCTGACAGAGAAACCCATTGAAATTTGAGAGAGAGAGAGAGAGAGAGAGAGAGAGAGAGAGAGAAGAGTCGAAATCATACAATCTGACAGCCTAATCATCATTAGAATGTTTTTAAAATGCAGCAACAAGACCATAATAACAAAATTATCATATCTTGCAAAAAATAATTAGATTAAAAAAAAGAGAAAAGAACTCAATGCAATGACTACATCAGAAACCCCAAGAGAAAATAAATAAATCTTTACTAAATCTGCAGTTAGAACTCAATTACTTCATCATCATTACCTCAGAAAATAACCTAAAACAAACACCAGCAAACCCATGAGAAGGAATTATAAAAGGAATTTGTCCAAGTTTTAAAATCTTTAACCAACCCAATGACCAGAACTGCTTCACCGATTTTGGAACAAATTTTCATAAAACCCTACTTTTGAAATTTGTCAGTTTTGACACAAAAAATATAAGAAAATGATTCAGTACTTATGGATGGAACAAGACATGAGTCTTCTAGTCTAGAAACAAGAGCCCAATTTCATATATCAGGTACCAACAGTGATGCTAAAAACCTGTTGAGCCATCAAAATTGCCTATTTGTTGTATCACAAGCTACAGGCTTTGGGTTTGTGAATAATTATAAGTACTGAAAAAGAGAGCTGCTTGCTGTCCACTGTTTCATACTGTTGCGGCTCTCTCCCTCTGTCTCTCTCTCTAGGAGTTTGTATCTTTTGCTTGTTTTCTGGTCTTGAGTCGGTTATATATATCTACTGTGTATAATATAGAACATGGCCGCAAGAGGGAGAAAGAGAGAGAGAAACCTACGTTTTCTATCACCATCATTCTGCAAAACCTTTGGTATAAGAGCCTCCTCAAGCTCCCCAAAATCATAAGCAGTTGAACCATGCTGATCACTGATAAAGGAAAATAGATAAAAGAATCAAAACCATTATCTGTTAGTTTACTTCAAAATTAAGGAAAATAGAAAGTAAAGCGACATCTTTGTGAGATGGGTTTTATGATAGTTATAATACATAATTTGTATGCATCATGGCAGGACAAAATAAACCAGTAATGAGAAGCTGTTTATTCTTCATTTTAGCTAGTTTAAATTTTAAAATTAGGAAAAGGAGTTAATATAAGCAAAATCAGTTAATTGAAACACAAAAACATTAATCGACCACTCGAAATTCCTGTGTTAGAACTGTTCCTGAAATCCATACTACTTGATCACAAATTAGATGTTTAGTAAAGGATAAAAGGAGGAGAAAGCTTTCCATGAGATATGTTATTTGAAGTTTGGTTTAAATTTTAATTGAAGAAAGAAGTAAAAGTAGTGAGAAAAGAAGAAGAATAAAACAGTATTTACATGAAATTTGAGGAGGGTGGTGAGATTCCATGGAGGACTCCATACACAAGATGCTGAGTTGAGGGCTCTGAGTCTGATAAACCAACTTCTGAAATTCTCCTGGTGTTGTTGTTACTCGCCATACAAAAGTCTCACACCATCTTATTGCTCTAAAACATGACAAAACTCCTCTCTCTCTCTCTCTCTCTCTACTAAACCCAAGTAATCTCTCTCTCTCCTACCCTAACTAACCAAAATTGCTCTCTCTCTCTCTCTTCCTCTTGTTCAGAGGAGCCAGTTGTGGGACCAATAAGAAAGGAGAAAACCATAGGAAAACAGAAACAAGTACCCAAAAAAAAAAACGAAAAAAAAAAAAGGTACACAAAATGAAGGTCACGAGAGTCAAGAAAACTGCAGTCTGTCACTCACAAACCTGGTATGATATGATTTTCTGCACCTTCTCTCTCTCTCTCTCTTTCTCTCTCTTCTTGCTAGCTTAGAATTTGATGCACTGAAACTGATTCCTAGGCCTCTCTGATTATTCTGTTAGGGTGGGGTTTTGCATCATTTCATGCCATCAAAAAGGCTCTGAGAATTTGATGTGATCAACACTGTTGAAGATCTGGTCCATAGAGAGGAGAGAGGGTGATGAAGACCTTGTACTCTATGGGTTTTTGAAAAAAGGTTGGGTCTTTTCAAGGTAACCTGCTGATAAAATCACTGACTCCAACTCCACTCCCCTCGTAACCGAATGTATTCACTCATTGGTTGTTGTTTGGGGTCACCATGAATTAAATAATACCCAACAAAACCAGCATTCAATGGAAGTTGACGAAGGTTTGTTTGAATAAAAAATGTGAAATGACAAAAATGCCCCTCCTTTTTGCAATTGGTTAGTGTGTCCTAGGATTCTGTCAAGTACCAAAATTTGTCCTCTTTCATTTTTAGCCTGACTAATGTTGCCTTGTTAAAACCTCTTTATTTTTTAGCGTGCCTATCATATTTCACATTAAATCATTAAAAATTATTGCGAACTCTTTATATTAAAAATAAATAATTTAAGATATCATTGGTGAATCTAATAATAACGGTGACAGTGGGCTGTCTGGCCAATCAGCCCAACAGTAAAAAAAAAAAAAAAAAATATAGCTTGTGTCAAAAAATGTAGCATGAAGGTCAAGTCACTAGATTGTGAGAGCTGAGCCCGATGGCATGTTCAGTTCAACCCAACGACCCTCAATTTTTCTTTACTTTTTCCTTGATTTGTTATTGGTGAGTGCCTCTTTGTCCTAGTCCGAAAAAGATAGGGCTTAGGCTGGCTTATGGCCAAGGCCATTCTGGCCTATTGCCGGCTCCATCAAACAAGTTACCGTCCTTTCTAACTCAACCAAATATAAATCATTGTTTTTTTTTATTTTCTCCCATCTATATGGTTTCTTAAACAGTAGCATGAAGGGTTTATTCCTAACCAAAAAAGACTTGTGAGGGTAGTAAAAATGGTCATTTATTCAAACCAAAAAGTATTTTGCTTCCTTTTGAAAAGGTCCGTGGCCAATTAGTCATTACAAGGAAAGAGGTGGGCCTTGAGGTCTAGATACTGTACAGGGTTTTTGTCCTGTTTGGTTAGAGGCATTTTTTGTTTTCTTTTGGGGCTAGAGGGTGAGGCTTAATTGACAACTCATGCGTCAATAAACATTTGCACACACCCATTCAACCATAACATAGAATAATCACCCACAAGCAAACCCACTTCCATTTTATATCCATGCTTGAAATGGATGGGTTTTGGTGTTTATCTCATACTTGATGGGTCTACATCCCATGGCTTCACAATACCTAAAGCTAAGGGCATGGCAAGATTCCTTCCTATAAATAGCAATTTGTTAGGGGCATGTGTGGCCTTCCAAGAGGCACTTGACATTTGAAGATTGATTTGTTTATTTCTAGGGGTCATCCCCTATATTAGAATTTAGGTTTATTATAATATGGCTTAGGTTATGGTATTTATGATCTATGGGCTTTGCTTTTTCCTATTCCATATGGAAGGGTTCACCCCTTGCTAAGATTTAGGATTCAGGGCTTTCCATATTTGGGTTTGGGTTTGGGTTTGGGTTTAGGGTTAAAGCTGCTGATTTAGTTGCCATGTTATTAAATTGGATTAGACTTAGGGTTAGTGGTTGTTTTTTGGTTTAGAATTTAATCTTCTACTTTCCGAGATGATCAAGGTTATGATTTATTTTGTTGCAGGATATAAGATTTAGCTGGCTGTCCCCTATATGCTCTTCATTCTTTTAATTTTCCTAGAGAATGTCCTATGCAATGTGTATTGTAGAACTAATAAACAAAGGTTAACCACCAAAGAGAACCACTAGAGTGCATATTGCTTCACCCTCATGTTTAAGGTCTTATGAATACATTAGGGTACATGTTTGATAACTGGGAGATCCCATTTAGAACGAAAATGGTTTGATAGGGCTGCAGCCCTGTAAAGCCTCACCTCATAACTCATCAAAATTATAATTTAAGTGTTGAAAAACCTTTAAATCAATCATCTCAGCTTGAACATTATGGTTGTGAAAAAAAATTAAGATTTCAAGTTCTAAAAATAGTTTATATTACAACAAATCATCTAGACCATCCATTCCACCCTAAAATTGATGTTAACATATCTGCAAGTTTTGTATTATTTTTTTAGTTTCAAATTTTATTGTTGGTGTTGGAAACTGATTTTAGAGCCATCATAAATATTTCCGATGCCCAAAGTGCCTTTCGGATGAAGATTTGAGGTGAGGCTTTATTTTGTTGTCATAAAACCTAGGTCCTATAAACTTCACCCCATTTAGAATGGTTCACCTGTATGCCTTTAATTATGGAGTATGATCGAGAAACGTCTAGGGCCTAGCCTTTTAAAGTTCTTATCTAGTATGGTGTATGATTGAGAACAAAGGTTTTAGCTCGTGGGGCATTAAAGTTGTTTAGTTTAGGATCTAAGATCAATGATTTTGGCTTGGTTTAGGTGATGGGGTTTGGATTCATTTTCTTGGCTTCTTAGGGATGATGGATCCACTTTTTGAATCATTTTAACTTTAAGGACAACTTCCCTTATGTGGCCATTACAAGGATGATTGTGTTATTATTATTCCTTTTTCCAGTCTTTCTCATACAGAAGGGTTCGTGCCAATATTATTATATACATGACTTTTGGCAGTGATATTTCATTTTATGTCAATGAATGGTGTTGAAAAGGTTGATGCATAGAATGGTGCATTATATGTGTTAGCGTACTTTGGTTGCACCTAAAAAATGCCCATTATAGAAAGCAATTAACAAAAGCACCTTTTTGGAAATTTTATGTTAATGATCTTAGGAATACTAAATTATTTTGTTGGATAAGATTTAGGTATTTTTATTAATCAATCAAAAGCCAAATTTCCATGGATTTTTTCCATAATTTCTTGGCATTCTGGTTTGTCACACTTGCATATATTGCTCTCAAAATCCATCCGTGCGATTCACTCTATGTGGACAGTGGCCACTTGGGTCTGATCCTTATCAGACAAGAAAATAAGAGGGGAAAAAATAAAGTGAAGGATACACGAACTGGTGCCATTCCCTACTAAAAAGAACTAAGGAATAGGACGTTATTTACATTTCTTGTATAAGAGTCTTAAAATTATCTTTAGCTATCAAACGTAAAATGGCAATCCAAGGTGTGACATTTTTCACACAATGTTCAAAAAAAGTTATCTGATATTTTTCACACAAAGTTTGAAAAAAGTTATCTCATATTTCGACTGCAGCCTCAATTGCCCAATTTTTGCTTGTAACAATTAAGGGGTAATTGTTACCATTTTACAAGAGTCTTATCATACACTTAGGGGTCGTTTGGATACTTTGAAATATATTATTTGTGAAATATATTACTGGCGTAATACATTACTGCGTAATACATTACATGCAAATGGATTGTTACTGTTTAGGTAGTATTTAGATGCAACTTGAAAAATACATTATATGCAAATGGATTGTTACTGTTTGGATAGTATTTAGATGCAACTTGAAAAATACATTGCTCTTACTTGACATGCTTTAATATGGAATTGTCTACATTGCACCTTAAATTTGTTTATGCTCTTACTAGACATAGCAATTTAATATAGAATTGTCTTTAAAGAGACCATTTATCTTTGTCAGTACAATCATTCTTGTCCTCTAGATTTTAAAATAGGTGGTTGTACTAATGTCATTGAATAAATACAAAATTTCAAAAAAAAAAATTCACTTCCTTCCTGACTCACCTCAAGCCATCCACTTTGATATCTAAGCCATCAAATTTGACATCTAATATTTGAGAATGATTGTGACATTCATTCACAAAAGATAAATGGTCTCTTTGTAGACATTCCTATTTAATATTGAAATGCATATGTATAGATAGCATGACTATACCATGCTTGTCATGCCTCAAAGAATAATAACTTAATAGTATGAATTAATATTGGTCATAAACATTGAGTAAACTATTTTAGTCACAACCTTTAAATATCGGTAATTTGTAGTTTAAATAATAAATGGTGATGTATTTTAAAAAAAAATTATTGTGAAATGGTAAAGTATTTTAAAAATTAGATTGAGATATTAGAAGACATCAATGTGTAACTAATTTATCATTTCTTTATCTGTATCTAAGCCCTAATCCCAAAAAGTCATTTTTTTGTCCAAAAGAGAAATAATTATAATTTAAATACATTATAATTTATCATTTTTTGTCTCGATCTAAGCCGTCATCCCAAAAAAATCTTTCTTTTCCAAAAGTAATCATCATAATTTGGGAAAGGCTTCTATACTTTCCCTACAGCATAGAAGATCTATGCTTCTCCTACCATCTAGCCATCCAATTTTGATCAAGAGAGCCACTCACCGTTTGATCTCAGATCCGACGTCTTAAATTTTATTTTAG